ACGGTTTTAGAGATTACTTTCTTCAGAGACTACGTTTTAAGAGACTACTTTCTTCAGAAACTACGGTTTTAGTCACTACTTTATTCAGAGACTACGGTTTTAGAGACTAATTTCTTCAAATACTACTGTTTTAGAGACTAATTTCTTCAAATACTACGGTTTTAGAGACTAATTTCTTCAAATACTACTGTTTTAGAGACTACTTTCTTTAAATACTACGTTTTTAGAGACTACTTTTTTCACAGACTACTGTTTTAGTGACTACTTTACTCAGAAACTACGTTTTTAGAGACTACTTTCTTCACAGACTACTGTTTTAGTGACTACTTTATTCAGAGACTACCTTCTTCAGACAATAAAAAACAGTAAATAGAATAAACCGTCAGAAGTTTTGATGTCAAAGAAACTAATGTCGAAGTTCTGAAGAGAACACACGAATGTGTTGAAACTAGTTGCTACACAGTTTGTTCCTTTCGCTGTTTTGTTTGTTCTCTAACTGCTACACACGATATTGTGATATTTTATGAACATGTTATCTACTTTCTTTAGCTAACCCTTCAGCCCAGTTTACTTTAGTGATATCCAGATATTTACTCCAAGTTACATCCAAACATGTATGAAAATAATGACACATTAATCAATGAAGTCGTTGTTTGAAGTCGTTGTTTCTATTATGCAGCATATTTCTTTACACTTTTTCAACTTAAAACATATTAAAACATAGAGTTGTTATACGAAATTTTATGTTTTTAAATTTGATGTGAAGATTTTTTAACAGTTTTTTTTTTTGTATTTTACAGGGTGCTTAGATGAAGTTTACAAAAACCACTTCAATTCCTGCTTCACGATGTGTCCGAAAGCTTGTAGGTAAGATCCTAAATAGGGAATTGTTTACTTAATAACATGTCAAATTGGCCATTAGTAAGTTTACTCAATTAATGAACCAATAGTTATTGAATTGGGCTGCTACAATCACACAGAGGGGAATTAACAAGCTGTAAGTTATTCTACAAGACACTTTCCTTGATTAAAGAAGTGTTTGCCTTCTTGGTTGACACAGCACCTACAGCAGTTGTAATGGTGTGAACACCTTTCATTACAATGAATAACAAAGTGTCTAGTTGGTTTTAACACAATGGTGTCATTTCAACAGTTAGCAAATTTGACCATCAACGGTACACAATGGTGTCATTTCAACAGTTAGCAAATTTGACCATCAACGGTACACAATAGTGTCATTTCAACAGTTAGCAAATTTGACCATCAACGGTACACAATAGTGTCATTTCAACAGTTAGCAAATTTGACCATCAACGGTACACAATGGTGTCATTTCAACAGTTAGCAAATTTGACCATCAACGGTACACAATGGTGTCATTTCAACAGTTAGCAAATTTGACCATCAACGGTACACAATGGTGTCATTTCAACAGTTAGCAAATTTGACCATCAACGGTACACAATGGTGTCATTTCAACAGTTATTAAATTTGACCATCAACGGTACACAATGGTGTCATTTCAACAGTTAGCAAATTTGACCATCAACGGGTTCTAAGAAACAAACGAAAATTAAGAAATTTGATAAGAAAGAAATAAGCAGGACCGACTATTAGGGGGTGGGGGTAATGGGGGATTACCCCCCGGGCCCGGGGTGCCACCAGGGAGCCCGTACAAAAGCAAAGAAAGGAATAAGGTAACATGCATAAAATATAACCAGCAAATTCGTACTTAGAAGTTGCATTATATAGTTAACTGATATTATGGGGTGGGGGGCATATGTACATGCTTACCCCCGGACCCCGGAATAGCCCTGGAAATAAGTATTCTGAAAAATCCATCGGATATTACCTATCCCCACCCACTTTGGTGTAATAACGTAATCCACATTTCTTAGCCCTGTTATTTCTAGACAGACTGCACGACATCAGCATGTTAAAGAAACAAAATGCCACGCCAACCCTAATGAAATACTGTCTTTCCTATCGAATGTTATAGAATATTTTGAAACTTGTTTATGGTAGAGAAGATTGTGTGTGTGGTAGAAAGTTTATTATTGTCAAAAGTGAATGTGTATCCTTTCAGGTTAGTTGTACATCATTTACTGAGTTACTCGTTTACTTTCCAGTGAGGAGAATTACAGTATAACCAGTATGGACACCCTTCCATGGCCAGCTTTCAATCACGTACGTATTCTAAACATAAATACGATAATACAAGTAAAAAAATCTAGAAATATTTGTTGTTTTGTGGTAGTGCGAGGTACGATTGTTTGTTTTTGAATTTCGCGCAAAGTTACACGAGGGCTATCTGCGCTAGCCGTCCCTAATTTAGCAGTGTAAGACTAGAGGAAAAGGCAGCTAGTCATCACCACCCACCGCCAACTCCTGGGCTACTCTTTTACCAACGAATAGTGGGATTGACCGTCACTTTATAACGCCCCCGCAACTGCAAGGGGCCGGTATGTTTTGTGGGACAGGGATTCGAACCCGTAACCCTCTGATTGCGAGTCGAGCGCCCTAACCACCTGGCCATGCCGAGCCCCCGCGCAAAGCTACACAAGGGCTATCTGCTCTAGCTGTCTCTAAGTTAGCAGTAAAGACTAGAGGGACAGGCAGCT